GATCAATTATTTTGTTTTCGTCCATACAAAGTCTCTTCTTAAGACGGCCTTTCGGCGGGATTACACAATCTTAATCTTCTATCTTTTGCGCGTGCGTGTCCATTATTTCTCCACATGGGTTACGTCGATCTGCAAAACAGCGCCGAAATCCTTATTTTGGGCCCCCATCTGGGTACCCAGTTTTGAGTACCTGCCATGATTGGTCTGTTAGAAAAAGCTATTCATTATTGATTTGCTAATCAGTATAATAAAAGGAAATTCGAAACGCACTTCCGGTAATTCGTTGAGTCCGTTAAGGGGTCCAGAACTGGATATCGGCGCTGCTTTGCAGACGATACTAACCAAGATGAAATCACGTATGGGACCTAGGCTACGCATAAACTAATTGTATATGTCAATAATGCATGTTTTCAGATGGATTCAGTAGCCGATGTTGCTGTGTATCCATACCAGACGTACTGCAAGTCCAAGTACGAGACTGTGTGGACCGGTATGATGTACGGCTACAAAGCAAGGTTTCCTTCTGCTATTCTGCACCTATTTAGCCTGGGAAACCCGTAAAGTTCATATACTAGGTCTGAACTACTCCAAGCAGATCGGATTCGCAGGGTATAACGTATTCATACCATGCAGCATTAATTACTATCCCATTGCTGAATCTGTTAAAGTGTAACAGCAATGCAGTGTATACACTGAGTGCCTTGCTGTGTATCTTCTGCACCACAATCACCCAGTGCCTCATCTTTCTCCCAAAGGTTAGTCGTAAACTTGGCATCACATATTTTGGAAAAACATTAACATCCTTCGAATTCACACCTAGTTTTGCTCACTTTTCAAGAACATACAACCGGGCCTCGCATAATCGACTAGCCAAACTACCCACGCTAGATAATTGAAAGTCGCTTACGACAGGCGACACCACAAAATCGCTGTTGAGCAAGAGAGAAAATGCAGGGGCACCCAACGGCAATTTTCGGGAAAATATCTGTTCGGAAGACGATTTGAGATCTAGAATTTTCGGAGCGTTTGTTGTAAAATTTCTTGCTTGCCTGCCTCTCCTAGGATTTTCGAACATCTACAAAATGGTATAATTACCCATTTTTAACGGATTTTGACCCTAAAAAAGGCCACCTAGAATTTTCGAGAGCCTTTTCCTGGCTAAAATTTTCGAGGAACGTAAGTTTTTATCCCTATAATTTTCGGATCACTATACTTTCAGCTAGGAAATCCGAACAGATGAAAAGTTTTTAGGGGATAAAAAAATGCCTATATCTACCCTTTGAATACTAAAATACGTTCAACAATGCTATGTTAAGTGGTTTTGAACTATATCCTCGTTGGGTGCCCCTGAAAATGGGACTGAGAGGGAAACGCCCAGTCTATCCCTTGGGTTATTTAAATTTCACCAAAGATATTTCTAGACCAATTAAACCATAGGGTCCAGAGGAGATGTGTTTGTCGTTAGAACATCAAAACCCGTCGAAAACCTCTGAAAAAATGGGTTATTTCGATCGCGTTACAGTTTCGTTACACACTCTATAGACCGCAAACCAGTCAGCCTACTAGTAGCAAAAAGCGCGCCTGACTTATTGGCGCAAAAAGGGTTTTTTAAAGGGACTGGTTCACGATAATGCGCATGCGCGCAGTTTGTCTCTTCAGAATAAATTTGTCGGGTCAACACTAAATTCGAAATCGCCATTACCGGTGCAATCATTGAAAATCCTTCTTTTTATTCGGACATCCGTCGCTTTGGCTGGTCTAGTTATACTTCTGTAGAGGTGATTAACGTGTGGTTGTGTCGTTTGACTGGTTAAGTTTTAAGAAGGACGCAAAAAATTTTGTTTTTGATAATGTTTTGAGGTTCAGAAGAGCATCGTGGCCGTCCGGCAACAGGACGTTCTCAAGAGTCTTTGGAGATAGAGAAGCTTAGCCTATCGATCTGGTATGGTTCTAGGAGTAGTGTGTGGCTTATAAAAAAAACACACGACACTTGGAAAGTGGTTAAAGGCATGAGTTCGTTCAACTTTGATTTTATTTTTGACTCCTACCTGCAGTTATACCGCAACAGGCCGCGCGATCTTCACCGATCTGGTACAATTGAAATGCATGCATCTAACTCGCTTCCGATTGGTTAAAAAACAATCAGCTACTGTCAGAAATCACACATGCGCATTATCTTGAACCAGTCCCTTTAACTAGCTAAAGTTGTTTTGTCTCGATATTTTTGACCAACTAGTTGGATTTTACTAAAGCAATTATTCCCCTCGCCCTCGTGGCCTCTGAGTCAATAGCCCATCAGGCCGAAGGCCGAATGGGCTGATTGGCTCAAAGCCCATTCGAGCTCGAGGAATAATTGCTAAACATTTATCCTGTCATCTGTTAACTAGAATGTGACCCTGATAACGAAAATAAAGAAGTCTCGCTTGAAAAACTCACTCAAGATGCATTCTGTTTATTTACATAGTTAGTACTCGTAAACCTTAGTGAGTGTGTGGACGAGTATTCTTGGTATCCCGGATATGACCAAATACAGTGCGAGATTCGGGAAACGCAAATTTCCTTAGGAATACAGGATCTGACAAAAAAATTAGGAAGCGGGTTTCACCAAATTTTTGGCACGGGATGAGGTATTGGGGAACTAGAAGGGTAAGTTGACGGAAGTTCGGGATGCGGGATTGTCGTGAGCGGGAATGCGGAATCAGGATCCCGCTTCCAGACCTTGCTTATAGTGTTCGTAGCAGGAGACTCTCCAAACCACCTCTCCAAACGTTTCGGGACTGGCCCTTCATCAATGGAGTTACAGGTACGTTAGAAACGTGGCAAGGTTTGCAGCCATACGCCATGAACTGGAAAAAATAAACACTCCAAAAGAACTCTGTAGTGCGAGCGCGGCTGTTCGCAATCACAGGAAACAATTCCTAGAAAATCTGCCCCTCTCCCCACAGAGAAAAAAAATAATGTCTGTAAAATCATTTTGAAGACATTTTATAATGTTTATATATTTATTGAAATTGAAAATGTTTATTAAAAGTCTTTATTATTCATTCAAAATATTTCCCCTATTCTGATTGGCTAAAAGCACACGTTTAATTCACCATAACCAGTTTCTGATGACCAATTAATTCGGAAAAATTTTGTGTTTAGCGAGGAAATGACGTCAAAAATGCAGTGTTCGTGCAGGTTAATGCACTGTTAACCGATAAGACCTGGGGGTGAGGTTGAGTTGTTTTGATTGTGAACTTGAAAAATGGCGGAAATTTCACTCGTTTCAAGAGTAAGAACTTAGGCGAAAAAATAGCTAAAAACATGGCAAGAACAGCAAGGAGACAACTCGAAGGGCGACATCTGCTATTTGGAGAATATTTGCGGAGGTGGACAAAACTAAAAGGTGCACTATCGAAAATAAACTTAACATCGTTGGATCGATGGAGGTAAGCATGTTTTAGCCATGTTTTTAACCTAGGAATTATTTTGAACGAATAATAAAACAATTATTGAATTCGGCTTTCGTATCACATGAAGAATTATGGAGATCTCGGAGGGTGTTATCCGCATCGGCCTACGGCCTCGACAGATAACACCCTCCTCGATCTCCATAATTCTTCATAACATACTCAGCCTCATTCACTCATAGTTAAGTAAATTCTACCTTTGGAATTAGTGAGAAGACTCAAAATTTTACAGACATACCAAAAAACTCTGAACAATCTTTGTAAATTATTATATTTGAAGGAATAAAATCTCTGTAAAATGGAACTGGCAGGGCATTATGAGATCTCTGTAAATTGGTATAAGCAGAGCATTATAAAATCGCTGTAAAATTGTATAAGCAGGGCATTGTAAAATCTCTGTGAAATGGAGTAGTATAAGCAGGGCACCATCGTTATTTTGATTATATTTATTTTGCGTGGAGAGGACACCTTCCAAAACTGTAATTCTTTTATGAAAAAGAAAACATCAATTGATTTACATCGCCAGTGAACTAACACAACTCTAAAAAAACCTGACTGTCTATCCTCCTTCTCGTTGTTAACTGTTGAAATGTATTTGGTCAAGCGAGAAACAAACTAATATATCTTGTGTGTTCAACTAGTAATTGTTAACGATACATAAAGTGAATAGACCCTATTCACGATGCTCGCATCTTTGAACGCGCTTTAGAATTGCTGGGATAAAATCAATGTCACGTGGTATTCAGGCAGGAGGCAAACAAGTGGTAAAATATACCAATACGAGTGATCACTACCGAGTTTGTTCATTCTCTCAAAACGAGGCTGCGATTTTAGTTTTTGAAACTACACAGTTCAAGTTTCGACAAGGTTTACGTCATTGTTGCTGCTGTGAGGTCATTTACGACCGCTTAACGTGGTCCCAACAAGTAATAAAGGTAACTTCCACCCATATTTTAAGTGTTGAAGTTAAACATGTCTTCATTCTTTTTCCGTTGTCTAAAAAAAAAACAAATTCGACCGCGATTTCTTGTACTACTAGTAGATTTCATCACTTGTTGGACCTCTGAGAAACCACGTGTCATCGCTTTTATCCCATCAGCCGTAAGCGCATGCAAAGAGGTCTATTGAGAGCAACTTGTAGCCTCCCCTTCCCCTGGGAAGAAAACGTCGCGCAGAGGAAGAGGGCTGGGTTGGATTGCGAGGGTACGTCTAAACGTGGGTTAGTAAAATGATCAATGGACAGAGAGACAACGAATATCCGGTGTTATACGGTGATTTCTTGGGAGAAGAACTCTTGCTCTGTGACGTCCAATTACGAGACCTTATGACATACAATTACATCCGCTCGGTTGCTTCAATGTTTACAAAAGTGCTTTACCAGGCATTTTATGAACAAACCAGTGTTCGTTTTCATTCATCTGTCATATGTGTCAAAATTTAAAACTCACGTCTTCAATTGAAATACTTAATCGCACGAAGTGACCATTTCTCTTATCACTTCTTAAGTACTTCCATTAAAAACGCATAATTCTTGATACTATAAACAATTTAACGCTGATAAGGAGAACGAAGTTTGTTTTCGGAATTTGGTAGCTGGTGTTTATAATAATGACCCAGAACTTGTGAAATTTCAGCAAACCATGGTCCGATTCTATTATCCAAACTGTACCCGACACCCTGCAAAAACAAAANATGAAAAGAAAAGGTACGATTGCATTCATAGAGACAAAGGTCGTATGCAAAGACATTTGGTGTACTACAAAATAATGCAATCAACTCTTTATTATTAGGAAGCCACACTAGCTACCATTCTTCAATATTTGTTTTGACTCTCTATGCAAGGAAGAAACCGTTCTCATGAAAAAGGACACGTCTGATTTCAACATTCTTCGTCTAATCTGCTCAGTTCTAGCATATTTTCGGGCGTGTGTAAGCAAATAAAGAAAAGTGGTCTGTGGACACTAAGGTCAGCCTTTAAATCTCATTTATTTTACATCGCTTACGAATTACGAGCCATAAAATAGAACAAAATAATCGAATTATTTTAAACTTCTCTGCTCTGACTTTTAAAATTTGTTGTTTTCATCATCTTCTAAGGTGTGGAATTTACTCAATAGGGCCATTTATACGAGGAAAAATAAGACGCGTCTTACATAAGACGCGTCTTAAATAAGACGCGAACTGTACCATTTATACGAGCATGTCTTATTTCAGACGAAATGTGCCGTTTATACGGAAAGTTCGCGTCTTATTTTTCCTCGTATAAATGGCCCTAATGATGCTTCCCTGGGTTTGGCCAAGCCGAAAGGAAGTATGGTCCCGAAACGTTGATTCTTTCCAATATGGCAACGTTGCCTACTGAAAACCTGCCACTTTTGACTTGATTCCAAGGTATTTTAAAAGATTTTAAGACAGAATCCATCAGGAAATTGAGTAATTTTAACTCCAGTGGACAAAAACCTTGTATCAGAATAACAAATATTTAAACAATATCTTATTCCTTTTTTACATTTTTTAAAGGCCAAAGCATAATAGGGCCATTTATACGAGGAAAAATAAGACGCGTCTTAAATAAGACGCGAACTTTCCGTATAAACGGCACATTTCGTCTAAAATAAGACGCGGCTTAGTTAAGACGCGTCTTATTTTAGAACAGCCCTTAACACCTGTTCTTAGATAAGGCGCGTCTTAGCTAAGACGAGAAAAACTTCGTATAAATGACCTTCGCGTCTTACATAAGACGCGAACGCATGGTACGCATGCGTTAAATTTTGGCGGGAAAATTTTCGCGCCTTGTTGGTTGCCGTTGGTACGGGCAACACTCACATGAAAACGAGTCTAGAACAGAAATAAGACGCGAACCATTTATACGAGCTGTTCTTGTCTTAGATAAGACATGCTCGTATAAATGGTACAGTTCGCGTCTTATTTCAGACGCGTCTTATGTAAGACGCGTCTCATTTTTCCTCGTATAAATGGCCCTAATAAATCATCTGTAGTAACACCAAAGAAAATTTCTCATGGAAGTCCCAGAAAATGAAAGCCAAATTTCACTAGAATTGTGATTACAAAAGTAAAATTCTCAAAATCTCATGTGTAAGATGTAATTTTGTGAAATTTGACATACATTTTCTCGGTCTCCCATAAGAAATTTCTTTTGGTGTCATTACAGATGATTTATTCCGTCTTTAGCCCTTGAAAAATGTAAGAAAGAATGCAATATGCGTTAGATTATTCCGGTACAAGATTTTTGTCCACTGAAAATCAAAATTACTCAATGTCCTGGAGTCACGAGGAAGCATAAAAACATCAGTTTGTAAAACGGTGAGTAATTATAAGGGCTGCGAATCGTGTGTTTGTCCGACTATTAACTATAAGAAGAGGAACGTCCGTTTATTTATCTCTCATCAATAATTTTGTCGAAAGTTTAATTCTAGGGAATTGATAAATCAGCCCTTACTGGACGTAGGTACCAAATTTTCATTAATTTATTGACCATAAGGATTAAAATCTCTTAAAAACAATAAGCCACGGTTTGTATGAAAAAAATGTAACTAAAACGAACCTTCTATAACTCAAGAGGACAATAGAGCAAGGGACTGTTTACATATAGAAAAGAAGATCCTGGCACCGGGACGATGCTACAAGGCGGAACACTGCTTTACGTTGGGGTTAAATGAAGACATTTTTTGTCCGTGTGGTGCCCAAGTAGAGAAGGTTCGAGAAGGAATTAAAAATGGTGGGCGACAAAAACAAAAATGCCCTTCTGCTCTCTTTACTGGTGTCAATAACTACCTTTCAGCAGAAATACCATGATAATAATCAGCTCGCGGTAACGAAAAACGAAATGGTCGGCCTTCATAATTGCCATGATTAGCCACTGAACGACCAGCCGCCATTTTTGTCTTGTTTTGTCCCTACATCTTCCTAGCCAAGGCAGTTTAAATAGTATTAAGATCTTCCTAGGAAGATCCAAGCGCTTGATTGAAGTGCAATCTGCCTTTGCCTTCAAACCCGAATACAGAAAACATATGGTGCCATGATGATCCGCCTTCTAGGGTCTTGCTGGTGCTAGGATCTTAATTCCTCCCTCCATGTAAACTTAAATGAGCACAATTCTAACCTCCTTAAAGAATATCCTGTAGTGCCTGATAAGAGATGTACCGTCTTCATTCTTGTCTCGCACTGACAAAGACTAGAAAGAGCGGGAAAATTAAGCAAAATCAATAAATACAGCTTGAAGAGTAATCATCAATCATTCTCAGTTTACTCCACTACTAGAGTTGTAAATTACATACATATAAAAAAGTACAGATTTTGCGTTCACCTGCTACCAGTTCAGCAACAACCCAAGGGAACAAAATTGATGGGTAGGCGGGTGTGTACGTTATAGGGGGCGAAATTTCTGGACAAGTTTCAACTACCTAATATAAAGTGCCACAATTAAAATTGGCGGTCTTTCGTGTCGTCACATTACCTTTTAAGGGAACTAAGGCCAAGCCAAACGTCGAACTTTTCATGAAACGAATCAAGCCTAGTGAGTTCAGTTCATGGAAGTTCGACGCCTGGCTCAGTTAACTGTTCGTCTGAATGAGTTTGGATCGTCCAACAACTTCTATCCGTCTGCTTCAGACAGATATAACGTTTGAAGATCGTCTAAGGATCAAACGTCGATCTTCACATGCGACGAACTAAACTGATAAATCAAAAATTTATATGATAATGTATATTTAGCCTCGTTCGTAAGAAAATTTTTACTGATCTTACTCAGTTGATTAGTTCGACGTGTCTAAAGTTCGACGTCTGATCTGACCCAACAGACGATCTTACATTTTAATTTAAGATCGTAATTTAGGTCGACCCAAATAAGACTTTTTGGCTCGTCTCATGAAAAGTTCGTCGTTTGGCCTAGACCATTATATCAAGTATTATTATATTATTATTATTATATTAGTATTAAGTGAAAGAATGACGATATTGGCTACTCCACTAAACCACCTTTTAATCTGATATATTGCTGTTTTCAGTATTGGTTGTTTTAGAATTTGTAACTTCGGGGTAAGAACAAATTTGAGTCAGGCTCTCAAAACGAGATCCCGGTTCATCATTTTCGCACCTCCAGCCAGCCCTCTCCACAAATCTTTAATGCTTTCACTGATTAATAGAACCAACACAGAGAGCTCAACACTTACCTTTCCTGATTCTGAATTGCCGGGACGTGTCAAGTATGTTCCTAACAACTCTGGTTTCAAAAGTCTGAAGAGGAGCAAAAAATGCATGGTGATTTATTTAAAAAAAGGTTGAAAATTGAAACAATTTTTCAAGGGCTAGTTTACTGATATGCGAACATTTACGTGCCTCAGTTATTTAGTGGAAAACCATAAGTGCAAACTTTATTATGACTAAGACTTTTCAGACAAATGCCATGCTACGTGCAGGGCTGTCCTCGTAAAAAAAAAACAATTTAGTCAAGGCGCAACTCTTTGTAACTGTCAAAGCACATTTTCGTAATTTAAACTAGGAAAACGATACCTGCTTGCCGTCTCTTTATCTGCGTCCCCCTTAAAAGCTTGGGAAACCTGCAATGCATTCAGAAAGCTATCGTTTAAAAGTGTTGCAACACATTATCTCTTCGGAATCCTACCCTGAGCAATTCCAAAATTGACTGGCCTTACTACGTTGGCAGAAGGAATTCCTTCATTGCCTAGCGAGTGTGTGTAAAGCAAAGGTCCGATCACCTACTTGAGCTAGCTGTTCACAGCGCTCGGACAAATAACTTCATCTGAAGTCAAGATCAAATTATGCTAGGATCATGATGAGGTACCATTCTTTAGAAACTAAATTACAAATAAGGCCAACTCACTTCAACCTGTTTCACTTTGGCGTTTTCACATCCGTCTGGGGGACACCTAAGAATGAAATTGAAACGCAGACAGATAGATACAAGAATCAATTTTTTTTAACGGACAGAGGAAGACACTTCTATTAACGGGACTATTTTTCCAGCAAACGTTGCTTTACGCCACGACAAACGCAAGGTGCATATCGGGGATTCCATTCCCCTCCCTTACGGACACTCCATTCCCCTTCCCCAAGACTGAGTCTGAATGGGCGTACGGGAGTACGGACGCACTAAACGCTCCACTCCCGTACGAGTGTTCATCAGTAGTCAATAAGTAATAATGTGTAATACGTAAAGGCTCGAAAAAGTCAGTATTTCAATATGGACAAAACGCAAGTGAAACCATTCCCTAATTTCACAAGTATAACATGCCATTACTTGCTAATATCATGGGTGACAAATTACACTCGCAATCTTGGGTTTTTTACTTGTTTATCGCATCGAGAACTTCACGCACTAAAAAGTTAATTTTTCTGAATTTTTTGACAAAACATTTTCTTGCCTTGATGTGCTATTTCGTGTGTTTAGGTTTTATAAACCGTCTTTTAATTCCTTGACATCCTCACAAAACTTTAAACTTGGACGCCATCTTGACACTGAAAAATGCCGAATGTTGCCATGGCAGTTTTGTAATTTCACAAATTAACATAATTTGTCACCCACAATATTATAATGATTATAAATTAAAGAAAATGATTTTCAACGAGTGAAAAAGGGGAACGCTGCAAGTTCCAGTAACTGGAGATTCTAATCGCAGGCTAGTGAAGTTGTACCTTCCGTGTGTGTTTGATCTCAGAGGATTAGATGCAGCAGGTCTTGGAGAACGCGGAAGGGCAGGGGCTGAAGAAAAAAAAAGTGAACACAATACATTATTATAAGTAGGTAAGAACCAGTCACGGCTTGTCGTACGCAAGTGTTGACTGGTCCGTCGTCTGGTAGGAAAATTAGTCCAAATGCCTTGTCTACAATTCATTTCAAAAGTGCTTAAAAATAAATGATTAATAACCTGTTTCTTGAATATGACCTAATTTGTTGCCTTGTTTATTGAGCTGTTTTACCACACTGTCAAATGCTGCTCCTGATTGTTGTACTCCTAACTGAGACTCCGAGAAGCTTCTTCTTGCCTTTGTGAGATGTCCAAGCTTCCCTCCTCGTGCCTCCGGTGCCTCTGGAAGTGGACGGGGCAGAGTTGCGGGCTTTTTATTCACGGGGTTGTTTTGTTTGGGTGGGGGAGGTAATGGTTTGCTTTGCTGACTGTACTTTTCCGAGGGTTCAGGGGGAAGGGTCAGTGAGTATGGTCGTCTTGACGACGGTTCATCAGGAAGACGGGCTGGAGGCCGTTCAGGGAGTCTCCTTGAAGTTGACGGTGGAGGAGGCGGGGATCTTTGGCTATCAGCTTGTGGTGGGTAATCAATATCGCAGTACGCATGACTAGTTGGACTGTTGAACATGAATGCCATTTGTTAGTAATTGCTTTACTTGGCGTTGGTGCTTAAATATAGAAAATTAAACCACTTTCTCAGCTTCCTGGATTCCCTGTAAACTTTGCAATGATACCTTTTGTTATTATTATTTTAGGAGGATAATGTCCTTGAAAGTGCTCTGGGAAAATAGCTACCTTCTTCAAGGTAGAACTGTTTTCTGCTTTTATATCACACTTGGATGATATTTCAAGCTAGAAATGTTCATGGAAGTGCAAGTCTCGTCAATTTGAAAGAAAAAAATTGATATGAAGAGCAGTAGGATTCAAACCCACTATCCAGAAGACCCAGTATAGCACACTAACCACTAGACCACCTAGGATTTGTTGGATGGCGAGGAAATAATTCAAGTACATATAGCACTAACCCCAACTTAAAAAAGGAACCTTAACCAGTTTTAACCTTAATCAGCCGAAAAGGCAGTGCTTAACTCTAATCACCTACTCAGTAAAGGCAATCCTTAACCCTAATCTGTAAAAGGCAGTGCTTAACCCTTATTAGTAAAAGGGAAAACTGCGTTGTGTAAATTTCATGAGGTGTCCGAAGGCGCTACGGGCCATGGGATCTAATGATAACCTCTAACTAACGAAGCGACAATTTCATTTCTCTTGCGTGTTGGCCTTGGTTTCATGGGTTGGATGGAGACTGGGAACAAAGCAGATAACAGGTTACCGGAAGTTACCGGCCACTAAAAGTTTTTTTCATTTTCGGCTACTTACTTAATATATTCCTCTTTCTCTTTCACAATTGCATCCATCCATTTCTGTAACAAAAAACAACAACAAATGTCCAATTAAAACAATTTAAATTGAAAAGCAATAATACTACTAGCTACAGTACCATAAATACCACGTTGAACTTAAAATACCCATAAATTCAAGACATTCAGTACATGATTATAAATAAAACAGAATAAGTATTTATTAATAAATTACCTTTAAATCATATTCTGTATCCACAGAAAAAAACAAAGTTTTTACTTCTGCACTTGAATAGTCAAATTTTTGGGTACCCATAAACCATTGAAGAACCCGTACTGTATGAGACGTGTATTTGTGTTTTCTGCTCATCAAATTCTTGTGTATTTCTTGTCTATAAAAATTACAACCAAAAGTGACTAAGGTTACGTCCACACGAATCTGGATACGTGAACTTGCACAGTAATTTTTAGGGAGTTGATAGTTCAAAATGCCGTCGCCGTTTAGCATTGACCACTCCGGAAAATACCATTACATACAGTGATGCTCTTTGTTTGTCACCCCAAAATTTCGCATACACATTGTCTTCAGTTTCTTTTGGGAGTTAAAAAATCTTGAGGTGGCAAACAAAGAACATTACAGTATCTTATGGTATTTTCTGGAGGGGTCTGAATTGCACGATGTTATTTTATGTTTGCGTAGGTATATTAACAAGAGCTTCGCTATTTATCTCATTTTAAGTAGCCATTCTGTATTAAGGCTTCCAAACATCAAATTGTTGGCTTAGAGAAATTTCGATCGACCTTCATTCCTGTACATATACCATTAAAAGATTTTAACGAAAGGAAAATGCAAATCATGGTTTACCTGTAGTTCTCTAGTGAAATGGCTTCCGTAAAATTTTGAGAATCGGGCTTCTTGAACAAGTATAAATATCCTGTTTTCAGGATCATATAAAACCAGGGCCCTATAAAAAAAGAGAATTGAGGCGAATTGTTAATTAGGCTGGTTCGTAAGAGTCCACAGCAGTAAACACGATTGTGTCGCCTTCTCTAGAGTGAAAGTTAGAAGAATATTAATAAGGATTGCAATATAGGCCATTTCTAAGTTTTTCCTTTAAAACCGTTAGTTTTACAAGGTTTTAAAACTTGTAACAGTTTTTCAAAGTGCTTTTTTGTTGTTACTTAACCAGTGATTTCTTTTACAATGTTAAGTCCGGTAGAGAGTATTTAAGGGGCTGCTGTTCATTGGTTTATTATTTCCTATAACCCGACGCGCCTTTTATCGCCAAGGAACTTGACGTTACCGGGAAAATTTACTGGTTGTAAATGACAAAATCACAGCTTACGAAACGTATATCAAACAAATATCTCTCCCAAACCATTTTATCAGGGCATAAACAAACAATATAAACTATTAGCCTAACAAGTTTTCAAAAACCGCAACTGCAATCCGCCGTTTATTTTGCCATTCGTGCCTTCCTTTGTATTTGCTGTTGTTATTCACGTCTTTTTATCAGTTTAGAGTTTATCATTTCTGTAATGTTTTTATAGCCTGTTGGCGTAATTAATCAAAGTAAATAGCAATCTGAGGTTATCCCAGGCCGGAAAGTACAGTGTAAAAAATTGCACAGTCATCTTCAGCCGGTATACGAGGAAGTGACCAGCTGCGTAAACGACGCTGAAACGACACTCAGATGAAAAAGAAATTTGACAAAATTCTCAATTTTCTTTCTTTTAAACTTATTCTTTTATCAATTAAGTGACTGCAAAAATATCTGAATTGCAGAGTAGGGCTCGATAATTTTTTTCCTATAAATGCGACTTTGTGGCCTGACATTCAACCAGTTGTTTCCAGCGCAATGCGTTGTCATGACCCGTCTCTATCGTTACTTGGCGACATGGCAGCGGCCTTTAAGTACAAGAGTAATCATTGCCATCCTTATAAATGTGAATGTGTTTAATTTCATATACCGTACGCGTAGAAATGCGGGATCAGGGGATCATTTCACACGCGAAACACGTTCGGCATAGCAACTAAGCAGTCGCCCTCTAAAACAAAGCGAAAAGTGAAAAAGAATCATGCTTAAACTTCGGACCAAAGTGAAAAAAAAATATCATGCTTAAACGAGATTCGAAACCATGACCTCTGCGATACTCGAGGTGCAGTGCTGTAACGTCGATCTTAGCTGCGCTATCAAGCCAGGCACTCTTTTCACCCCTGCTTTAAGGCTAACTGTCTTTCATGATCACGTGCTAAATCTTACTGAGGAACCATTTCCCATGTTCTCCGAAAAACACACTCTCTATAGTCGACTTTACTAGACCCTACAACTTGCTTATATCTGAAAATATTTAGAAATTTCACATGTGAAAGGTTAAGCCAACCTCCAAAACACAAAAGTTATAATGTAGCTCATGTTCGATATTTAAAATTCTAACATGACTCCGAGGCTTAAGGGTCAAAATAGCAAAGACTATATATATTTCCACTAGTAAATAACCGTCAACCGTTAAAGCTAACACCCCATTGACACCCTTTTAAAAATTTAACAGTTTTTCGAAGTTCATTTGTTGTTTGTATCATTTTTATAATGCTTGCGAGATATAAGTCTTCGACAAGAAGCTGTCAGTGATTTTGTCATTTTCGAGCTTTTTTTTTCTTCTGCGCAGCATAAGTAAGCGCGGTTATTCGCAATACACTATACTGTAACAAAATAAAATAAACGACCGTGACAGAGCCCCTTTAAGGAATTAACTCGACTTCAACTGAGTTAAACCAATGGCAGATAGAACTTACATCTATCGATTTTCTTGAACACAGACAGTAATCCGGTTCTCCCTTCTTTTCTCAGCCACCCAAAAAGACTTGGAGTTGTGCTAAGCAAATCAGTAGCGGAGATCTTGGCAAAGTTTTCTACAGCTTTAGCCATCACGTAGCTCAAGTGGCTTGGCAGCTTGCAAAGTCCTGAAAGAATAATGTCCCGTTAGTAAAATCCAGCTAGTGGTCTATAATCAACGCTGCGTTCTGATTGGTTGAGCTACTACTAGGCTATATGTTATAGCCTACTAGTAACGAAAAGCGTGCGCTTTTTGGCGGTAAAAAAGGATTAAAGTCTAGCTTTAACTAGCTAAAATTGACCCAGAGCCCATTCGGGCGCGAGGAATAATTGTTAAATATTTATTTCAGTATTATATACATACTGAGAAATACTCACCAAAAAGTTGTGTTGTATTTCATAGATGATCAGACACCAAGTATATAATGAGAGCCAGTGCTCTTTATCACTGTTGCTAGTAATGATGTGATGTCATGATCACTGACTAAATATTACGCCAGTCACCATAAAATATAATAATAATAACAAAAACTGTATAAAAAGGAGCATAATTGNATTTATTTCAGTATTATATACATACTGAGAAATACTCACCAAAAAGTTGTGTTGTATTTCATAGATGATCAGACACCAAGTATATAATGAGAGCCAGTGCTCTTTATCACTGTTGCTAGTAATGATGTGATGTCATGATCACTGACTAAATATTACGCCAGTCACCATAAAATATAATAATAATAACAAAAACTGTATAAAAAGGAGCATAATTGACCGAAAGTAACGAGTAAATCTTTACCGCTAAATGCTTTTTTTGTATCGGATTAATTTAATTACTAGGTAAACCTACCGACTCTTTTTAAAAATCAGCCGAGTCCGCCCACTCCGCCGGGCCAGAGAACGAAGTGTAGCTATCACCTAACTAAGACGTAACTTTAAAATCGATTATATTAAAAGACAGATATTGATCTTCAATACCCTCCTAACAACAATAAACAAAAAGCTAACGAAACAATGGTTTCTAAAACACTAGAAGACGGGTTTAATCTCAGAGAGACTGCATGGTGACTACACGATCAGCGTGATTTATGTTTGCGAGCCTAAAATGATTACAAAGCAAGCAGGAGCCGGCTCCTGAAGCAAGTCATTAGTGAACAACCTAAAGTCACGCGACTACCAGAGCGAGGCAACATTACTCTTTAAGTCCAAAATAGCGGCTATCAAAACTTCAATAAATTAACTACAGAAAGGTTGTTGCAACTTTTTATCGATCACAAATCACTGTAAGGACATGTAACATGGAACGTCCGTTGTCAAATCACGCGATCCTGCCTAAGAATTACCATTCAAAGGTCTTTTATGATGATCAAAATGGCGTCCAATTCAAGAATTTCCACCCGGAAGTATGTTTCCTCGCACCGTTTAAACTAAACTAAAATTTAATTGCTGTTAGTGATTTCGATGTTTGTTTCATAGAAAACATAAAAAATCAGTTCGTGAACCAAGCAATATCGATTTAAACTGTGATACTATGGGCATCAGGCATGCTTTGCGTATTTAAGATGGCATTAATAAGTTTAATCTGACGAAGAGCGCCGCACAAAATATAATTTAATAGTCCATGCATATACTTAACAGTATACTGGACTCTTAAAATACGAAGCAATCTAAAAGAAACTTTAAGAAATCAATATTAACCGATGTATCTTTAATCAGGCTGTTATCTAACTGGAAATATTCACGCTCACTTCGGCCAAGTACTTTCCTGAGCTGAAGAAGAGATCGATAAATATTGTCGGATTAGTATGGGCAAAAGAGATGTAATTGTCGAGTTGCTTACCGTTTTTTCTAGGTTGTGAACGTAAAAGCAGATGTCCGCCATTAACGTCAAATATTCACATTTTAGTCAGGTCAGCTAGTCACCTGGTTAGCGAATGTTAGCGGCGATAAACACAGACTACGCTACAGTCAAAACGAAAACCAAATGTGCCTGTAAGGCGACACTAAGCAAATTTATGTTCACAGCAGTAGCTTTGCCAAGAGAATAAATTTGAAAGGTCATTGGCTTAGTCGAGGTCAAAATTAACATTGACTGCTAAATTGTTGGAGCGTGGAATGAAAACGACTTGTTTGCACGAACAAACTTCAAATTTCCCAAAGCACGTTTATCCATGAAATAAATAATTAAGATTTTATGATAAGCCACAACCTGTCAAGCGGAACCCGGTTTTTAACAGTTATGTTCATTTCGTTCTTAAACTATTTTTCCCTCTATTTTCTGTAAAGCGAATCTGCCATCGAGTCGGGACTCTTGCTTGGACACTTGCAAGGATTTCCCTGTGCAGTAAAAAGGCATGCATTTTTGGTATTACTATGAAAATGTTTAAGGCCCTTGCACACATTTTGTACATTAAAAAAAAAAGAAAAAAGGAAAAAGAAAAATCAGTTCCGCCCATCATCAACTGAGACTAACCTGGCGCGCCTCCTGCCCGTTAAAATGAGCACGTTTCACAACTTGCGCTTCTGCTACAATTAGATATCCGTTTCACGTATCAACCATTCAGATTAAACTGATTCTCTTATCCCACATCCCGCTAAACCTATGTAAATGAACAAATCCAAATTGCCACAACAAACAAATCCTTGCGTCCTGGAGCCTGCTTCTCGAAAGTCCGGTGACTTTTCGGACCCGGAAAACTGTTTTGTATTTGTTGTGTTTTCATTCAAGACAAAAGTTTCGATAATTTTGAAAATAATACAATGAAACTATCGGCTAACGAAATAAAACTGAATGGTTTGCGGGCTAGGAACTGCGCCACTATTCAACAGGCTTTGATTTTAAAAATTTGCCTTCGGGCCCAGCAGGTTTCCGGGTCTTTCGAGAAACGGGCCCCTGGTTCCCTTACTGCATATCAACCAATCCAAATCATTGTAACAACAAACAAATCCTTGTGTTCTTTTTTCCTTATCCCGCATCTCTTCTCACATCCCGCCAAACCTGAAAATCAAAGCTTGCAACAACAAACAAATCTTTGCGTCGTTTCAAGTCAGTTGGACTGATAGCTCAGTAAGCTTAAGCTTTAAACTGTTTCTCAATTGATTGCAGCATGACAATAGGGTATTATTTAGATGGTCAAGCACTGAGAGTACGGGCAGGCTGCTAATTTCATCTTTCAAGCATTTGAAAGACGAAAGAAACATAGTTAATTCTACCATTCCATCATACCTGTATTTCCTTAAAATTACCTGTTTATTATTTTTATTTTAATCGGTATTACCTGTACAAAATGGTAATACTGAATAAAATTGTTGTTGTTGTTGTTGTTGTAATCGTTCGGGAACGCATCGACTATGTTGCTGAGTGCCCTTGAGCCTTTCTCCTCAGCAGAAGCGCTCACTAAATAAAAGAAAACCTCAGGTAATTTTGGGTATAGCGAAAACGTCTCCTCTTTCTTCTTCCAATAGTCCCGTCTCCCTCACAGTCTTCAACGGAAGAGCTCCTGGGTACCGACTCTCACCGTACCATTTCCAAACGGTCTAGCGAATGCTGGCTCCTGATTGGGCACAAAAAATGCTTTGTATTATTTTGCCCAATCGGCGAACAGCATCTCGAGTTCTTTTCGTATGTTCGTACACGACGGCTATTTTCTCGCCATACTTGTCTGATTCGTTCATCAAGGTTGTGCGTGCAACGGAAAGTTCCATTTTCTACTCTCCTAACCAGAAACGAAGGAACTACCGATGAGTCAGAAAACATTTCGGATGCTATTAGCAGGAGCATTCCTCACCAGCTAATACACAATAATACAAAGCATTTTTGGTGCCCAATCAGGAGTTAGCATTCGCTTGACCGTGTGAGAGTCGGTTCCCAGGGGCTCTTGCGCCCGTGCTTGAAAACTTTCGTCGCGCCTACGTACTTTTCTTCCTGCCCGACTGACCGCCCCTGGTTCTCCGAGGATGACTCACGGCTGGTTTTGTCTCGTCACGAAAAGGAGCGTTGCGTGGCGAGAGAAATACGGAAACGAGGGAGAGGAAAGTATCCCACGCACGTAGCCGTCCTTTGTGTCACGCAACGCTTCTCTGATATAATCCGATATTTCACTCAGCACAGGTTCCTGGTGGAACCAAGAGGACGTGTCCACGGAGGAGATCGGAGCCCTCCTTTATGTAGTCACGCAACACTTCACATAAAATGTTCCCAGACAGCCAAAGTGCACAGCCAAATTAAGAAATTCCTCAGTGGTCTGACCTAATGGATTATAAAGAAAAACCACGTTTGCATCCATCCCAGTCAGTCCTATAACTTATAAGGACGGAGGAGGATCTCAAATTGATCCGTTTCAATGCCGAGGCTACGATAAGCAAACTGAACAGGTCACATCGTGGAAAGGTAAGGCTGACAGTCCACAGCCTTCGACCAATAACAACTCATACTGCATGTCTAGGACCACAAAACCACAACACTTAAGAAACAAAGTTTTATTCGCAGTGAAAAATATACGTATTAAATTATTCGTTACTTTATTACAAAAATATATCTAATCTTTACGAAATTCAATTTCTTTAAAACAATAAAGCATTGCAGCTTTGCTACTTCCTGTATTGCAAAGAAAAATATAATACTCTGAAACTTCTATATTTATTACAAACGGTATCTTTAAGCTTCAAAACTAAAAAGGCAGCAGAAGACCCGTACTTCCCTTTGATCAATAATACTATTAAAATTATAGTACCTAAACGATTTAGAACAGAATGGGTACCAGCCCAAATTGAGCTATTCAAGAATTTTGTTGACAAAAACACCTGAGTGTACGAGCTTAGAATTTCAGCTCGGTCACGTCACTAGGGCTCTAATTAAGGAGGAAATATATATATATAGACAACCAATACAAAGTTGTGGACAAAAAAAAGCAAAAAAGAAAAGACAAGATTTTTAAACTAACCCCTTTAAAATTTACTTAATTTGATTTTTTATAAGTACTTTTTATTTTCCCCGGCCTAAGTTTTAATTGTCACTTGGATATGTTGACGTGGTTCAATTTTCAGCATCCGTATTTCAAATTTTACCATCTTTTGTTTAACCCTCTAAAGCCCAA